AGCAGGATTGATGATACAAACCTTGGGTAGACAATTTAATTGAATGAGGAAGGCTATTTGCAGCATTTGCATAGCAATGTAGAAAGCTTTTAGATGTTAATAAAATCCATAATTGTGTCACTTTTTGTCCCTGATCTGTGAGAATCCTTCTAGTTAACAACTGTTTTTAATGATTCCTGCAAACTGTTTATGTCCTCTGCTGTAGAAAGGCCACCAGTTCTGTAACCATTTTTTTTACTTGTAAAAGTTTGCTTTCAAAGTGAAATTTTAGCATTCACAAAAAATTAAGAATTAGTGATGAAGTTACATCAGGAGTAAATTAATATTGTGAAATGTCCTCTCTTGTCGTTCTGACACTTCTGATTTCTGCTACACATCCCTAGGTTCTGTGGAGCAAATATTTTTCATTGTGTCAGATTTGCAGAAGGTTTTCTGGTTTAGTGCAGTTACTGCTTGGAGTAGCAAGCAGACTCGATCATTTGGCTAATATGAAAGCAGGGTTTAATTAATTAAATAATGGTCTGGGTTCTTGATACTATTGAAATACAGATTTACTTTTTAACAGTTCTTCAACAGCAGTATAAAATTAGCATGGTATCAGAGTACTTGGAATAGCTGAAGGTTTTTGATCTGAAAAATTTGTCTCATGCAGAACTCTTGTACAGTACAATGATGACAAAATTGATACTTTATTAATCTTCAAGTTTTATTTTTTTTGTAGCCACATTTGCACAAGATTGTGAACAGCTCTATGGAACTTGCACAGACTGCCAAAGAGCCCTATAACTATTTCCTGCTGCTCAGAGCACTGTTCAGATCTATTGGAGGAGGCAGTCATGATCTGTTATATCAAGAATTCTTGCCGCTGTTACCAAACTTACTGCAAGGTAGAACAATACCTTCTTTCCCCACCCCAGTTTCTGATCTTTTTATGTAAATAGTAGTAATAAGTTATGTTACGTAATTAAAAAAACAAAACTAAAGCCCTAACCCTGTTAAGTAGCTTCTGATTTTGAGCTTAGCAGTTGATTAAATATCTTGAATGTGGCTTATTTTCATTTACTATCAGCTGCTTCAGGCTCCATAGCTTTGGCTGCTTCACAATTTCTGCTGCTTGTTTTTCTGCTTTCCATTGTGGGGCTGTTGGGTTTTTTTTGTTTGTTACTTTCATTCGTTTTTTTGCTACAGATAACTTTGTTAGCATAAAGCATTGAAGGATAAGAGTAGTAGGACAAGCAATGTTGCCAGGCCATCACTGGTTTTGTGGGAAGAACATAACAGAGAAGCTCTGGTTGTTCTGCAGTTGAGGGCATGTGTGTGCACCTGCGAGTGCATGGTAAATATAAATGCAAGTAGTGTCAGTTTGCAAAAAGAAATTGAATAACAATCAGTTTGATTCACTGAGTATTTGTGCTTGTGAGGACTGTGTTCCAGAGATACTGAGGATGAGCAAGGAGAATGTGGAGAACTACTTAAATCTAAGGATAAGCTAATCAGAACAATGCCAGGAACGTGAAATCCTGTGGTTCCCATCTACAGCTGTAGGGGCAATTTTTATTGTAGTTAGCGAATATGTATGTTACCTATAAATCATTATAAAAAATACATGTCAGTATACAAGTGCTAGCTAGGTTTATGGAATATATGAAATCTTGATGGGGAGAAAAATAAGTTGGGGAATGTGTTTAGTCTGTGTGGGACAGTGAATGTACTTGCACTCATTTAATGTTTCTTTCCAGGAGTCCAGATATTTTAAAAACAATTTGTTCTCTGTGGATTTTTTTTATTGATACAAGGCTGATGTTTGAGTCAAATTATCTTTTTCTGGTTTTCATCTGCTGTATTCAAATGCTACTTTATTGAGTCTAATATTAAATTTTAGAATATACATAGATATTCTTTTTTGTATATGCATGTACCTACAAAAACATTCACTGAATAAAATCCTTAGGTGTAAGTTGTAATTATGAATGGTATTATATTTTGTAAATAGGCTATTTACAGAGCTATAAGTTTTACAGAATTTAAAAATGTCAGGTTATTCTGAATTTACGAAATAGCAATTTTAACAATAAGCTGTGGACTGTTTTTTTCCTTTGAGTGTATAACTTTTCAATGATTTTCAGGACTTAATATGTTGCAAAGTGGCCTTCATAAACAACACATGAAAGACTTGTTTGTAGAGCTCTGCCTCACTGTGCCAGTTCGTTTGAGCTCATTACTGCCTTATCTGCCAATGCTGATGGATCCCCTGGTGTCGGCTCTCAATGGATCTCAGACCCTAGTTAGCCAAGGCTTAAGAACTCTTGAATTGTGCGTGGATAACTTGCAGCCAGACTTTCTGTATGATCACATTCAGCCAGTTCGAGCTGAGCTAATGCAGGTAAACATGTCGTTTCCTGTTAGACCACAAGAGGTCATTGATTCACTAAATATTATTAGAAATATGTGTGAGCCTTTGGTTATAAAAACTTGAAAAATCTGTCATGAGAACCATACCAGTCTGATTTGTATGTAAAAAGCCAGTTGGTTATGTGCTGTTAAATTGAAAACTCTGAAAAATTTAGCAGTGAATTAATAATTTCTTCTGTACCCCCTGTTTAAGGGGTTAAAGTTAAGACTTGGGACTCAATAGCAAGAATATTACTATGTTTAAGGTGAGTTGGTACAGAAAACTGTTAAAATTTATTAAGTTTTTAAAAAACAAGAAAAGCTAATTACCTTCAGCATATCATGATTGACAGCTATATGAAGTTTATTTTTACAGTGAAGATGATGTGGGTGAAATTCAGAACAATGTTTTAAATGTGGTTATTTCCCCTAATACGACGCTTGCATATACTTTATCCTTTAAATATAATATTTACTTTATTTGCTGTTTATATTTCAAAATTAGCTCTTTGCGGTTAATTCACTTCAGCCTTAACTAGCCTCCCTTTTTTTTTTTTTTTTTTTTTTTTAAATTCGTAATGCTGATGATCTAATATTAGTCATAAACATGAAATTACATTTCAATATGGCAAAGATTTTGTGGCAAAGATTGCAGTAATCTAATCCAAAACTGGATTTAGGACAACCTTATTACAACTTGAACTGTTGTGAACTGAGACCACTTTTATTCAATCTAGATAAGTATTTTCTGGAAGTTATGCAGGATCAATTACCCAGATACAAGAATAAGTGTTTTCCTTGACATATTTTTACATTACAACTTGAAAAATTTTGAAGTTAGACTGGTCTGACCATGTAACATTTGAAATATTTACAGGCTTTGTGGCGTACACTGCGCAATCCTGCAGACAGCATTTCTCATGTGGCTTATCGTGTGCTTGGTAAATTTGGTGGAAGTAACAGGAAGATGTTAAAGGAATCACAGAAACTACAATATGTAGTCACAGAAATCCAAGGACCCAGTATTACAATTGAATTTTCAGACTGTAAAGCATCCATTCAGCTTCCAATGGAAAAGGTAAGGGCTTAAGTTATTTTCTGTGCTGAGAAACCATCTTCCTCAATTTTCCTTTATTACAGATTTTTTGGAAGTTTGTTTGCTTGTAAAACCTTGATAAAATATGTGGTATGTCTGCCAGTTCCAGATATGAGTTAATGAATATTTAACATTACAGAATTTATGTAATTAAAAGGTTTTAGGATCTCTTGCATTCCTGATTTTTTTTTTTTTTTTTAATATCCCTCCACTTAGACAAAGAGATTTCTAATTAATTTATGTT